ACATTTGTATTGCCCTTATTGTAAAGATTTCCTCCACCATATATATAAAACATCATATTTCAAACGCTTGGTAGAATAGTTGATGTTGTTTTGCTTTCTTCTGTCCGATTGCAATTCTGCTGCTGTTAAGAAAGTGGTCAAATTTCATGTTGTTACTAGAATAGTATACAACAATTACTTGTATAGATGTAAATTTTAATTTTATATCTGCTTCCTTAAATCAGCGTTCACATCTTGTCTTAGATTTGAGGTGTAGTGGATGTTTGCATTATATTTTTGTAACTAATATCCAACCTCAATAATAAATTTATCTCATCTTCCCATCTTAACTAATTCCTTCACAAAACTGCAGTGCCATTCACCTCCACTTTTCTCACCAAATCTCTTATTATAGCAAAAAGCTGCTACAGAGCTAGCCAACCTAACTTCTAAACAGATTGCTTACATTAACACAGGCTCATGAACAAGATGTGCAGTTACCAGGACATAACTTAAATTTTACAAATCCCCAAGCCTAAATCTCTCTGATTACAATTTCAGTTTTTATTGTATTTCTGCTTCTTTGTTTGGCCTGACTACAACAGATTGGATGAAAGCTGTTTCATGGAGCAAATCTTTTTCAGATGTATTTCAGACGTGTTGCCTTTAGTTTTGCAAACTGAGCACTCTTATACCTTTTTGTGAAAGGCCTTTGAACTCTTTGCCTCTGCTCTTGCTATTCACAAAGCATATTTTTGAAGTCAGAAAGTTGGACTAAATGAATATTCCCCAACCTCGTGTGCTGGATTTCAACTCCCATTATCCCCAGTTAGAGCCACTCTGGTGTACTGGTTAAGGCACCCGGCTAGAAACCGAGAGACCGTGAGTTCATCCTGCCTCAGGCATAAAGCCAGCTGGGTGACTTTGGGCCAGTCACTCTGTCTCAGCCCAAGGAAGGAGGCAATGGCAAACCACTTCTGAAAAACTGTGCCAGAAAAACTGCAGGGACTTATCCAGGCAGTCACCAGGAATCAAAAACTGACTGGAAGGCACATACATACAGTACATACATACATACATAAAATCCCTAGTCAGTATTGCAGTTAGTATAGAATTCTTTTGCTTCTGCCCAGAATTTTATACAGAAGACAGTCAAGAATTTGTTTTCATGTAAATTGAGAAGTTGTTAAAGAATATGAATGTTTCCCTCTTACTGAGTTCAAGTACTATCCTTCCTTTTCTGTCCCAAACAACGCCATTATAAAACTGGCTGTCTGCAATTCTAGTCCTTATCTAGCCTCTGATGAAGCTCCCTGCCAGATTGTGTTGTCCTGATCGGTGGGTCTGCCACTTGTGATTGGTTCTCTATTTAGGCTTTGCTGCTGTCCCTCTCTAGCATGTCACAAGTCAGTGGAGACACATTAGGTAGGAGGGGCCCTGCAGCATGAAAGGGATAGGTCTGGCATTGGGCAACTGCACAGTTTGGGGACTCTTCCTGGACTTCTCAAGATTTTTTTTCCTCTTGGCCCACTTCTCATATCCCATCTGGTCATCTCACAAATTCAAAATAATGGAAAATAAACATGTGGGAAAATGGCTTCCAATCATAAATATGCGCCTACAAAACTGTGTTCAAAATTAATTAAACAATGTTTAAAAGATTGTAATTTGGACAGTATAGAAGGACAAAGAGAGACCTCAGCGCAGAATCAGCTCGAGAGAGAAGGGAGACAGACCCTGTCATGACTGTGTATCAGCTACGTCTGTACAGTGGCACAACTGAAACTCTAGCTACTGGGCATCTTCAGGGGCTAAGCATGGGTATGGAAGTGGGTGTAATTGACAAATAATCAACAACCCCCCCAATTTGACATCCTTCATTATTTTCAGGCCACTGCGATAAGGAAAAGCTGTGTTGCTACTGCAGCAAAAGGTCAAAACCTTCCACTGTCACCATTTTAGAGTTTTGCAAATAGAGACTTAAGAAAATATACCACTGTTCTCCACCAAATGAAATAGTGGGAGTCTGCTTTCCTCTCCTTACCTGACTTGAAACCTGGAGAGAAATTGATTTCAAGAAATAGCCAAGGGAGGAAATGACTGGTATGAGAGGAATTCAGGAAACAAAGCATTAATGGAGGGGGCAAATGATGGAAGAGAAATGGCTGTGGTGAAACTGGCTAATGACCAAAAAGGAGGGAGCATGTCTCAATCTCTCCAAATGCTGCAACCCATCTTGGGTCACACCCAAAGCAAATCATCTGACCACAGCTCAAAGATAATAGTGGGAAAGCATTATGGATTTGAAATGGTGGTGAGATAATGTTGGATTGGGGAAGAAAATAATACTTTTATTGTGGCCCATGAAATTCCAAAAAGCTGTTCAGCCTGTGTTGGGAATGAAATATATGATCAAAGAGGAAGATTATGACACTTATGGCATTATAATGCCATTGTAAAATGCAGCTGGTTTAGCTTGTGTGCTACAATTCTGCTTTTGTTAAATATAGTGAGCAAAGGAAACATGGAAGAGGTGGCACCGTGTATTTTCCAAGCCCTCTACTAATGAATTGCATTAGAATGGACTAAGTAGAAGGGTCCATCTTGGGCTGCAGTGTACAGTGTGCAGGCTTAGCTTGTGGTTCATTGTTAATGGAGTACCCTTTTTGCTCTTGGCCTGAAAACCTCTGCCATTTGCCACTGAGAGACTCAGTAGCAGAGACTAACTTCATTGTACAATTGCTCTGAGTTGGGTTGGAACATTATTGTACATAATTTCCAGTACAGGTTACACCCAACATGCTCCCAGTCTATATACACAGATCAGATCAGATCAAATCAGATCAAAGCAAGCACACACACCATTCAATATGGCTAGAAAAAAATACAGTTTGACGTTTACTCGCTCGCAAACCTAAAATATCAGTTAACTGGTGAAATGTTTTAAAAGGCAGACAAAAGCAGGGAGATAGAGACACACGAATAGGCAATAATTTATATTATCTATATCAAAAGGAGACGGAACTTTCAGAAGCCACTGGGAACAAAAAGTATGGAGAATCCCAAAGTGAGTTGCCTTGGGTTACTCCAGCTTTAACCCTTTTATGGACATAACAGCAGCAGAATAAGATGGAAAGTCAGACACTGGGCAGCCCCTCTTCTATTCTTTATCCTAAGGGGAACAATTGGGTGGATGGGGATGATGTATCCACCAAGCAGAAGCAGGTAAGTGAATGCCAGTTGCCAGGAGCACACTGGGGTGGAGCACTGAGGATGGGAACCAGTACAGCTGCTCAGAGGGAATGGGGTAAGCCAGGTTGCTTTGCACATAAAGTGAACATATGATGATGGCAAGGAATTTCTCTTCTTTGCTCACCTGCTCTCCCTCCTCCTGGCAGTGAGGCATCCCCATCGCCATAGGGTTTATAGAGTGAACACAGGTGGGAAGGTGGGGGAAGCAAAGAAGAGACAGAAGACAAAGTTCTCACCCATCTTAGAATTGGCTCTTGGGGTTGTATCCCTCCCCAGTCTTAAGATCTCCCAGGGATTAATGGATAGTGATCGCAATTTTTATCCAGAAGCCTTTTTCATCCTGTGAACCTTTAATGGTGCCAATGCAAGGTTAATTTGGGAAAGAGTGTCATGGAAGCAGAGCATCAGCTGTAAGGGGAGAAGTGTGGGCAGGAATTTAGGACTTATTTTAAAAAGAGTTAAATGGCTATCTTTCAGTATGTATGTGTGACAGTTCAAAGATGAGAACAACCACAAATCTGTGATCCATTGCAGAAGTGAATGTGTAAGCATCATGGCATACAACCTGACTATCTATCTCCAATTGTTTCCACCCGCTTGGTATATTTGGACAGAGTGGGGGCGCCCCAGGTCCATTCTATGAAGTGTTGCCATCTTGTGGGTCAAGGAAGCATGCCTTCTCTGTTGCAGCCCTCACCCCTTGGAACAGCATCCCCCCAGAGATAAGGATGGCATTCACTCTCTTGGGGGTCCAGAAAGTCTTTAAGAACTGGCTCTGTTCCCAGATTTGGGGCTAATGTGTTTGTTGATGTATTTGTGGGGCTCCTGTTTGTAGGGTTTATTGTTCTTGTTGTCAGGCTGCCTGTTTATGTCTGTTTAATGATTTTATTGTTGTTATTGTTTTATGGATTTTTGAAGCTGCCCAGAGTCTAACGGAGTGGGCAGCTATAACAGATTTAATAAATTAAATTAAATATATATGCACACACAGTATACATATATTTGCATAAATGCATGAATATACATAGATGAATATGCACCCGGTCCTTTGAAACTGCTGCAATTGGGGCTTGCAGTGGGTTAGAAGTTACAAAACACATCACTCTTCTAATGTTTCCTACTTTCCCCCTCACTAATATGTCTGATATTTGTAATGTGACCACAGTAACTATTCTACAAAGTTTTTTATTTTGTGCTCATCAAGGATGTCTTTCCAACCTGGTGCCTTGTGTAGGAAAATACATTTGTAGTTCCAACACCAGGTTTGGATACACTATATTCCTCTGGAGATTTCTCCATTCATTTAACCTTATTAAAAAAACATAAGGGCCATGATGGACCAAAGAATTATCAGGTGCAGCAAAGATATGGGCAATAGCTATCTTGATAAATCTCACTCTAAGCCAGTGTTTCTTCAACCTTGGCAACTTTAAGGTGTGGACTCCAGCTCCCAGAATTCCCCAGCCAGCATGCTGGCTGGGGAATTCTGGGAGTTGAAGTCCACACATCTTAAAGTTGCCAGGGTTGAGAAGCACTGTTGTAAGCCAAAGCCAATGATCACATAATGGTTAGTTTCTTGCATGAACCTGGGCACTGTGCTTTGTGAATCACAGGTTATGACTTAAACCGAATGTGCAAACTGAAAACAGTGGTATGATGTGTGGATCTGGTCATTACCTGCAAACAATTAGCCAATTGTGGTGGGCTTTTCAAGGAGGAGATTTTGAATGAAGGACAAGTCAAAATGTTTGGGGGACATTGACCCGTTATTTTGAGACTTTTGTTATATTTATTACATTGTACAGATGGTAGGATCTTTCTTGGTCTAGCATTGGCACTTGGCAATTATGTTACGTTTCCTCATAGCTTTCCTCCCCCTTTTGAGTTTCGTTCTCCTCCAGATCTCTGGACCGGTTCTCTGGCAACACCTGGTCATCTGCTTCATCCATTTCTTCACATTTTTATTCAGTGAACTTGCACACACCTTTTTGCGTCTGGTGTGAAGGCTATGGGGACAAGAAAAAAGGGCAGATTTTAAAAGGAAATAATAATAATAATAATAATAATAATAATAATAATTTATTTCTTTATCAATTTATAATTTATTAGTTATTTATCAGGATGAAGCCTACAAGTATCTGGGCATTTTACAGTTGGATAACATCAGGCAAGGACAAGTTAAAATTGTCCATGACTAGTAAAGAATACACCCAAAGAGTGAGAACATTGCTAAAGACAAAATTGAACAGTGGAAACACCATCAAAGCCAACAATACCTGGGTCATACCTGTTGTATAATACTCTGCTGGAATTATTAACTGGACACAAGCTGAACTGGACAGTTTTGACCGAAAAACAAGAAAACTCATGACTATTCACTATGCATTACATCTCCATAGTGATACTGATAGATTATACTTTCCCCGCAGAAATGGAGCCAGAGGTTTACTTCAAATCAAACACACTGTCGAAGAAGAAAAGCATGTGTTGGCTGATTATGTAAAAGACAGTCAAGAATAAGCACTGATGCAAGTTAAAAATTGGAACTCACTGGAACATCTATGAAAATTATCATTTGCCAGTAGTGAAAAATTGGTGGGAAGATATAGCTGAAAAAGTAGTTGAAAACGATCTAGTTAAAATATTGTGGGATTTCCGAATACAAACTGATAAAGTCTTGGCACATAACACACCAGACTTAAATGTGGTTGAAAAGAAAGTGTGGATAATTGATGCGGCTGTACAAAGGGATAGTAGAACTGAAGACAAAGAATTGGAGAAGATCACAAAGTATCAAGATCTGAAAATTGAAATTGAAAGCTTATGGCATAAATCAGCAGTGATGGTCCCAGTGGTTATCAGCACACTGGATGCCATACCAAAAAGCCTTGGACGCACTTAGAAAACCTGCACATTGACAAAATTTTCACCTGTCAATTACAAAAGGTCACAATGCTTGGATCCACATATACTATGCCAATACATTATGGCATCCTAGGTTCTTGGGAAGAACTGGTGTATAATAATTTATTAAACTTGTATGCTGCCCAACTCAATGATTCTGGGCAGCTTGCAACATTAAAACAAATTAAAGCAAAACTTATCCTGATTTAAAATCAAATGAGCTACTGTTGAAGCTATCAGTATGTCTAAATAAAAAACACGATCTAGCTGTATTCAAGCATTTTTAAAATATCACTGATATTAGTGGAAGCATTAAGTAAGTGTTTTTTCAGGGCAGAAGCATCTACTGGGATACCAAAGCATGAGGAAAACAAATAGCCATCCAGACATAAAGGAATAAATATGAGGTCAAAACAAGGTTGGGAATCACAATGAGATGAGGAAAATTTGAAATGGGGACATTGCAAGGATAGAAGAAGAATCAGCACTAGTATTAAGAGGTGTGAGAAAACTGAGAAAAAGGAAAAGCAGTAAGATAAGTAGGACGAACCTGGGTGCCTTTTCTTCCACCCATCTTTGCACTGGTAGAATGCTGTATCAGCATAAAATGTGCTATCTCCATTCCTATTCCCTATCCTGCCTCTATTTCCTGCTTCAAGTCTCCGCAGATACCCGACTTCCCTCCAAGGTAATAAGTGACAAAGCCCAACAGGCACCTTGAGACTGCCCTTGGGCAGTGTTGGAATAAAATGGAAAATGTTGCTTTAATTTAATTTAATTTACAGCTAAGGATGACTTAAGGCCGTCTCTCTCTGGGGCTGAGGAAGAGATGAAATCAGCATTATGAGGATGTGCCAGAAAAAGGATGTTGCCAGGTCCGTAGTTAAAAGCCAGTGGGAAAAGGCCTGTACGTTGTAGCCAACTGAGCTCCATAAATAAGGATGCTTCCAGATGGATTCCTCCATAATAGAATCCTTGAGATAAGAAAGATCATAAGAAGCCTTAGATGTCCATTCTTAATCACAATAAGCTAAAATTGCAAGCTTCACCCTTTTAAACTTGCATCATGATGTTTCAATAAAATATGTGGAGTTTGCATTGCAATGTCGCAACATGTACTGCATCACTTGCCCCCATTCTCTGCTCCTCCTATGGATATCTACGAAAGAAGTAGTGGATAAACACGAGGCTAGAGCTGGAGGGCAATGCTTGGATCCCTATAAAAATTCTGTGAAAGAGGCAGGGGTTTTGCACAATCAAATCTTATTTGGAAGCACCTGTGCAATATCCTGTTGCTGAGTGTGCATATGTGTGTGTGTTGTGTACCACTTACATCACAGCTGGTATTTTGCATAAATCACCACTCTTTTGGATCTCAAAGTTCACCACTCTTCTTAACCACCTTCTGGGGATGTGATGGGCTACTTCTGTGCAACAGTCAAAGAAGATAGGAAACATAGCTAGAAGAAATAGGAAACATTATTTTTATTATAGTTCAGTAACCAACATGCCTAAGAGGATAGCCTGCTGAACTGAGACTATGTTGTGAGCAGCCATGAATCAGGTGGTACTAGAATATCATGAAGTTCTCTAAATGCTCTGGAGTATAGTTTTAAGAACTCCAGTCAATATAGTTACTGCTTGAACAAAAATTATAATAATAATGGTATTTAGTTGCAAAGTGTATGCATATATCTCTAAAAAAGAAAGGAGTAGATTAAATTACAGAAGCCAATTAGAAATAATACTGGGCTATCACATAGGAACAAAGGGTTATAGGTTTTGGACTTACAGACTGGGAAAGTAAACACATCGAATGTTGCTCATTTTAATGAAGAAGAAAGGATAATTCCAGATGAGCTGCAATATTTAAATACTAATGCAAGCCAGCCTAGTTTTATGAGTAGGACCCTACATCTACCCAGGAAGTATAAAGGGAATCATCATCATCATCATCATCATCATCATCATCATCATCATCATCATCCTGGCAATGGCTAAGAGCAGGAAAGTTGAAGAAAGAGACAGAGGGGCTAATTCTGGCTGTACAAGACCAAGCTTTAAGAAAAGATGCACATAAAGCCAGGATTGAGAAGACCGCAATAGACAGCAAATGCCGCCTCTGCAAAGAAGCTGAAGAAACAGTGGACCACCTAGTCAGCTGC